ACGAAGCCAGAACAATTGTTCCATCTGGCTTATTGTGCGATAGGGGCGATATCAAAAATGAAATCGAAATCGATACATCAAAAGCATTTACTCATGCGTTTATTACTATATCAGAAATACCAGTATTTAATCAATTTGACATTTGGCGAGCGTTTGATGATACAACTGATATTTATGATCTACACGACTTAACGCTATATTATATAGAAAGGAAAACTACTATACTAAAACGGACAGGAAGAATGCTATTCAATAAAAAATATTGCTTAATATATGGTGTATTTTTGAAACAATTAGATAGCATGACAAGAGATCGAATTAATATTGTATGCTTTAAACAACCTTCATTTATTCATAAAGTCGATTATAAAAATATGGTTAATGAACTTTGGAACACAACCATCAGCGAAGACAATGAAGAAGATAAATGTATAAAAAAACTAATCGCAAATGTTAATTATGGGCTTTTAGAAAAGGGAGGAGCAACTGATGAGAAGAGCACAGTGTTTAAAAATCTTAAGGAAGCCTTAAATTATCAGGCAGAGTATGGAGGTAAAATACATAAATTAACGCATTTCACGACAGAACAAATTACAGTAGATAAAGAACAATATACAGCAGAAGAAGAACAGGCGTCATATTATATACTTAATTTAAAGGATATATCATGCTTAAGGAATGGCTTTAGATATATAAAAGAATTACTACTTCAATATCATAATTTTAGAATGTATCAAGATTATTCTAAATTACATCAAAATGGTATTAATGTATTTAGCGTCAACACAGATGCGTTTACAATACAGCGATCGGATATAACAAAAGCAAGAGAGCTTTTAATCTTTAATAATGATATAGGAGGATGGCGAATTTCAAATGACGAATATATTAAATTTCCTACTGTAGATTGTGAAATTTCACAAAACGAATTAATACAAATACCAGTTTATGAAAGTAAAACTATTGATATAGTAGATGAATATGACACAGATAATATTATTGAAATTATTGAACAAAATAATCCTATTATGGTTCGTGGAGCACTACCGGGCACGGGAAAATCATATATATGTCAAAAAATGGTTGATACAAATTATAATGTAATTTTTATTTGTCCTACTAATAAACTATTACAGGCATTTGAAGGAGAAGCAATGACAATAAATAATTTGTTCGGTATTAATTATGGAGATGCTAAATTAGAACCATTTGATTTTACAGATTTTGATGTTATAGTATTTGACGAAGTTTATTTTAGTAATTTAAATATATATTGGAGAATAAAACAATTTGTAGAACAGAATAAGCACAACAAAATTATAATAGCAACAGGAGACACCAAGCAATTAAAACCAGTTCAAGAGATAACAAATACTCGAGACTATGAATTATATACTGATAATATTATAGATAACATTTTTGAATATAATATTTTGTTAAAAGAATGTAAGCGACTTAACACACAGGAAGATAAAGATAAACTAAGAAATATTAAAATTGATATTTTTGAAAATAAATTACCTATTATGAAAGTTATTGAAAAATACTTTGAATATACAACTGACATAAGCAAATCTATCAACAACATAGCATTTTTAAGTACAACTTGTAAAAATGTATCAAATGAAATTAGAAAATTAGAAAATAGAAAAGATGAATATGAAGTAGGATAATTTATAATTTGTAGAGAATATACAACAACTAAAACATCAGTTTTTAATGTAAATTTCAAATATAAAATTGTTCATATTGGAAGCGATGGATTTTTTACGTTGAAAAATGTTAAAACTGAAATTCTACAGTCTTTGTCAATTGATAAAATAAGAAGTAATTTTATATTTGCATATTGTTCGACTTGTCATTCTGCCCAAGGCAGTAGCATTGATGATACCATAACAATTTTTGATTATAACCATTTTTTGGTAAAGAATTATCCAGAATGGATTTTCACAGCGGTAACACGTGCTCGTGATTTAAACAAAGTCAAATTTTATAAATATACGAAAGATATTGATGATGTATTTAATCAAAAATGTATTATGAGTTATTTTGAAAGGAAAATATTAAATTACAAGGAACAAGATCGGAAAGCCAAAAGAACAATGCCTAAAGAAGGCTATGTAAATGCGCAATGGTTTTTAAATAATATCACTAATCAATGTAATTACTGCGGATGCGGTTTTCTATTGATATGAAAAATGGTAATATAATGACTAATCTAACAGCACAACGTAAATCAAACGAGTTGTCGCACGAACTGAATAATATTATTCCTTACTGTGTTAGGTGCAATTGTAGTTGTAAATGATAATAATTTAAATAATAATTTAATATTTCTTGTAAAAAAAAAAATATTTAAAGAAATAAAAAAATATATATTGTAATAGAAATGGTGGAAACCGAAATCAATAATTATATCAATAAGAAATGCTACAACTGTTGCCACTTCAAAAAGGAAAATATGGAATTATATAAATTAAATTTACCTAATGGAATAGTTAATAATATTATTGATTATTCAATGGATGAAGAAGATATATGCGAAAATTGTAAAACCTGGAGAGATAACCAAGCTATAATCAATTGTGTGTTGAGAAAAAGAAGAAGAAGTAATAGAAACGTTGAAGATGAAATCTTGATATTTTTAACTGTGTATGAAAGACCACCTTATAGTTATATTAGAGCATTTCTGAAAATCAGTAAGGAAAAATATAAAATGATTGCAGGTATATTATGGATGTTGACTTATCATAAAAGGGAAGGGTTTGATGTAAAAGAAGACATTAAAACATATATTGAAAGAAAAAAGTTTAATGTCAAAAATACAGTGAGAGATACAAATATTATTATTAAAATGATGTATGAAAGAGGTAAGATATATACACAATTTAATAGTCATCAATTAACTTATTATCCTGAACTGAAATTATAATCATAATATAATAATAACATGTAAAATATTATATGTTATAATTATATTTCAATATTTAATTTGATTTCTTGGAAAAAGTATTTAAAGAAATAAAAACTATAGATTATTATATAGTGTGTAATGGCGGAAACCGAAATCAATAATTATATCAATAAGAAATGCTATGACTGTTGCCACTTCAAAGAGGAAAATATGGAATTATATAAATTAAATTTACCTAATGGAATAGTTAATAATATTGTTGAGTATTCTTTGGGTAAAGAAAATTTATGTAAATTTTGTAGAAATTGGAGATATTACCAAGAAGCAATCGAATATAATTTGGACATTAAAAGGTTTAATGAAAGAAATGTTGAGGATGACATTTGATATGTTTAACTGTGTATGAAATACCACCTTATGATTATGTTAAAGCATTTCTTGAAATCAGTAAGAAAAAGTATGAAATTATTCACTGCATATTATGGATGTTGGAGTATCAAAGAAAAGAAGGGTTTGATGTAAAAAAAAATCATTAAATCATATATTGAAAGTGAAAAGTTTAATGTTAAAAATATAGTGAGAGATATTAATATTATTTTTAAAATGCTGTATGAAAGAGGTAAGATATATCAATTAAATAGTTATCCTGAACTAAAATTATAATCATACTATGATTATAACATGTAAAATATTATATGTTATAAGTATATTCCAATATTTAATTTTATTTCTTGTAAAAAAGTATTTAAAGAAATAAACACTATATATATTATAATAGAAATGGAGCTTCAAAAACTACCAGTTGAAGTTATTAATAATATTATGTCCTATAAATATGGCAAGCCAGAATATATGAAAATAAAGCATAATCATAATGAAACATTGAAGAGAATACAAAGAAGATATAAAATTGACAGAACTGACATAGAAAGGGAAACAAAGCACTGTAATAATTTAGATGGTGATAAAGTAAAGAGACAAATATTTCAACATTATGTTTCTAGGAAGGTTCCATTAAGCATTGAAAGTATTGAAGATATAGTTATGAAAGAAGGGGATGAAATAGATAGCTTAATAGATAAGTATGTAGGATATGAAAGTTATAAAGCAATAATAATAGTTGATGTAATTGTATGTGTAAGGTTTCATCGCTTTAATTATTTTGAGGATGATGAATATAGCAGTTATGGTTTTGATTTTCATAGTGGTAGACACTTAATGGGTTCTATAGACCAAGATAATATAACTGATGTAATGGAATACGCAGTTGCAACAATATGTAGAAATATTGATAATGAAAGGGATATAATGAATATTGTAGGAGTAAAACACATAAGGTTTATACTAATTATTGATGAACCCGAATAATATAATCATACTATGATTATAACATTTATACCCTTATATGTTATAATTATAATGTAAGTATAGCGATTTATATATTGAAGATAAAATCCTACAAGGGACACCATGCGCAACTTCGGAATATCCAAATGTTGAAAAAGGATTAATTTTTAAGTCTTCTCATTGAATTATTGAAAATGTTGTTTCTTATTGAATAATTCTTCTTAAAATGCTATATATATTTATCTCTTTGAAAAAAACAAATATTTTCTAAAATATTTTGGAAAATGTGTGTTATTGAAAATGAAAATGTTTAGGTGTATTGAATTTTTCAAAAAATAATTCAATTTTCGTTTTGGTATGCTGTACTAAAAAAATATTTATCAAAATGTGTTTAGACTGTTTCAAAACATGTTTTAAAATGGCTGTTTTGGGGCGCTTATTCAAAAAATGCAAAAAAAAACCTAGGGTGGACCCTAGACTTTTGAGTCCGAAAAAAGTTGCGCATGGCCTTACCTAACTACAAGCGCCAAATCCCAGTACAGAACCCCAGAAAGTCCCTAAAAAGCAGTATAAGAAGCTAAGGAGACCGTTTGGGAAATCCTGATGAAACAAACCTAAGAAACCCATCCCCAACAACAAAAAAGCATGAAACAAACTTAAGAAACCCATCACCGCCCATTTCACCCTAGCAGCCCCCCCCCCCCCCACCCCCTCCCCAAGCAAACCTGCGGCGGGCGGCCCAAGCCGGCGGACATGAAGCTGTGCACCGCCGCGATGTCTCCCTCCAGCTTGGCGGCCAAGCCGGCGGCCTCGTTGAGGTCGAACCAGGTGACGTCCAAGGTGAACACCGACTTCAAGTACCTGACGACTCCGGGACCCACCGAAAAATAACCCGAACCATTGCAATACCCCAAACAGAAACATGGGGTGGACTCCAAGGCACACAAAAAAATACCCCAGGCAATACCCCAAACAGAAACATGGGGTGGACCCCAAGACCCACCAAAAAAGAAATCCCATGGGAGACCCCAGAAAGAACCCTAGGGGGCGCCTTCGGCGGGATGGTGTTGTTTTCAAGATTGAAGAACAACCCCAAACCACTAAAGTCACAAGAGAAACTGGGATGCCCCGTAAACTAGTGGGACCTGAGGGGAACTCAGACTTGCGGAACCCATGGTTGACTGTGTTTGGGGGAGCCCCCGGGCTAAACCCCAATCCCAACAGGGCCCAACAAATGGCTCACTTGAAGGCCGGAGAACTCAACAAAGCGTGTGCGCACGTTGCAAGCAGCCGGGTCAAGACGATACGTCAGTTAGTATGCAGCGTTGCGTGCCATTGGCCGCTGCTGTCGACGTCCATTTGCTCAAGCGCTTTCGACGCTAAACTCAGCTACAATGATTCAGTCGGCTGATTTCCCACATAGAATACATATACAGAGCCGCGGTGGGAGTATATGTCTGGTGTTCGTTGGGGGGTCACCCACTTACATGTTGAAAGCGATTGGTACAAAACCTGGACAGCGGAGGGCCTTTGATGTGCGGTTGACCTCTGGTTGACTTTGGCCGGGTGTTCCTAAAGGGGGGCGGGGCGGGGGACCCAAAGCGCCCCAGATCAATGAACGGGGGAAAAACCCAAGGGTTTGGCCACGCGCTCGAGAAATAAAGAGCAAGGTTCTTGTCAACCCGTCTAGGTGGTTAGAATCTTCTTAGAGGTTCTAAGGAATTTCTGGGAGGTAAGAGGTCTGGAGCTCGTTTGGAGAGGTTTCAGAAGCCCTCAGGCTAACCGTCTGTCCAGTACACTCCCTCCTTTCAAGAGGTGGCTGTGCTTTTGGAGTGTATTTACAAAGGAATCCAGCAATTTCGGTCCCAAAAACCTGAGACATCGGCCCAACGGCCTCCAGGTGCCCCCTCTCCCCTTGCCTCAGCTGCCACCTCAGCGCCTGCTGGCCAGCGGCCCACATGAGGCAGGTCTGCCACAGGAAGGCCAACAAGAACTGCACCAGGGCCTCGAGTCGTTGGATCCAACGGGCCAAGGTGCAGGGAGAGGTGGAAAGGGTACCCGGCCCTCACAAGACACACCTGGTTGCGGGAAAATCACGCGACGTCAGAACAACACGGGTCATTGTGAAGGGGACTCAAAGCCTGGTAGTACAGAAACTGGCCCTCAAACCAGACTTTTCACAAACCATGGCCTTTGTGACGTAACCGGCGGGGTTTGGTCGGTTTGGTCTCCTTGAGTGACATCTCGAGAAACGACGCATCGAATGAAACAAAGTTGAAGCATCGCAATGCCGAGTTTGTAGCCCCCAAGGCTTGACCAGCATGGGATGGTCAATCTTCGGAGCCATGGGAAGGGGAGCCATTGCATGGTGTCTGCTAGCGCCTGGCCATAAGGACCGGGCCGTGAGGTTTTGGCTCCCACAGCACACCGCTAATTCTTGGAGATGGAGATGCCAGGGCCCATGTTTGTGCCCAACCTGCAAAGATTAAGCTGAGTTTACACGCTTTTCTCAGGATGTTGGGAGCCTTTTGTCAAAGAATGGCTGGTTGCTGTCGTTTTTCTGGGGGGGGGGGGGTGGGGTCGAATCAAATCGATGGGCCCCCTACTGGCACCCAACAATGCCGTTGAACCAAACCAAGCGGCTGGGTAGGTCAGCCTAATCCTGGATGAGAAATGCGGCACAAGTTCCCACTTCACCCATCCGAATCAAGCCCCCCGCCCCCCGGCCCCCCGCGGGAAACCCGAACAATCGCCTTCACGACAAGCGGGATCGATTCAGAGAAACGCTTATAAGCAAAGAAGCAGCAACTGCAAAGGGCCGGAGCCCTGGAGATACTGGGCTCGTTAAGACGACGTCCTCAAAACTACCCGCTGAAAGGTGGCACCAAAGAATCTTGAGAAGCCCTTGAAATGTTCACTTTGATTGACCAAGCGATAGCGATGCCAAGGCGCAAGGATGCTAATGCTGATCAGCACTGTTTGCATCTCACTCAAGACGTTGCCTGCGCAGAAGGGCAAGGAGCGAATCATTTATGTGTATGTCCGGGTGCCTTCAAATCAAATATACTCCCCCCGGCAAATCAACACAGAACTGGAGGTTCCTCTAGTGATGGCTTCTTCGGGTTCCACATCAATCTGCAGAATTGCCGGCAGCGCCAGGCAAGAGAAGCATGGGACATGCGCGCTTGCACCGGCACACCACGCCGGGCTTGTGCAATCACCGGGCAGTTTCTCCAGCACTGGATTAGTGGCCAGGTTGGGCTGCTGTTCAACGCACCAATTTCCTTGATGCTGCCAGTACAATCCCTTGAAGGGTAATCCAGCACAGCACGGTGGCAGCTCAGAGTACTGAACATCTCTAAAGTGCACTGGTCTGGGCGAATCATCCTTGCTCACCCACCTGAAGCTTTTGTAGGGTGCAGGTCTCCACCCAACAAATCGGCTTGGAGCCCGCGGGATCATCTTGAAACCGCGCACGTTCTGAACGACTGCGGGGTTGCAGCTTCCTCAAACCTCCGGAGCCACCCAAACACGCCTGGCCCAACCCAACTCCCTGAAATTCCCCCGCGGCCTGGGTTGCTGGTGGATAGGATGTTGATGCCTGACAGTCTGACCCCGCGAGCAAATCACAAAGACCGCCTGGCAAAACCCAGACCTCGAGTCACCATGAAAGGATTGGCCCCCTCCGTTTAGATGTTGATTATACTCAGAGGGCACCCCAAAATTGCATTCTCCAGAGGCCATATGTGCGAAGTGCCTTTGGTCGGGGGGCATCCGATTCACATGGCGACCCTTTTGGGGCACCCCGGGACAGGACAGAACAGACACACCAGACCACACAAACCCAAACCAAAGTACAGACAATGAAAGAGTGCTGGCAAACTGCGCGGCTGCACTGGGCAGCCCACCGAACGCAGAAACGGCCCAACAAAAAAACACCAGGCCGAGTGCACAAGTAGTGTGTTCCCCCCCCCTTTCACCCCTGCAAAGGCGGGGCCAGGTATCCTGGGGTCCTGGCACTGGCCAGTGTACATGGCGATCATCGGGGCAGAGGCCCCCTGCAGCAGCGCCAGCAGCGAGCCCAGCCCGAGGCTCAGCTTCTCGCTCCAGGTGGTCTCGGAGAGCACCTCACGCAAGCGCCGAGCGAAACGGAAGCCCGAGGGCCCGAGTGAGCAGTGCAAAAGGAAGACAGACGGACAGACAGACAGACAGACAGACAGGCAGGCAGGCAGGCAGGCAGGCAGACAGGCAGGCAGACAGACAGACAAACAGACAGACAGACAGACAGACAGGCAGGCAGGCAGGCAGGCAGGCAGACAGGCAGGCAGGCAGGCAGCCAGACAGACAGGCAGGCAGGCAGGCAGGCAGCCAGCCAGACAGACCCACAGACAGGCAGGCAGGCAGGCAGGTAGACAGACAGGCAGGCAGGCAGGCAGGCAGGCAGACAGACAGACAAACAGACAGACAGACAGACAGACAGACAGGCAGGCACGCAGGCAGGCAGGCAGGCAGGCAGGCAGGCAGCCAGACAGACAGGCAGGCAGGCAGGCAGGCAGACAGACAGCAGGCAGGCAGGCAGGCAGGCAGGCAAGCAGGCACGCAGGCAGGCAGGCAGGCAGGCAGACAGACAGACAGACAGGCAGGCAGGCAAACAGACAGACGGACAGACGGACAGACGGACGGACGGACGGGCGGACAGACGGACAGACTGACAGACGGACGGACGGACAGACAGACCGACGGACGGACAGACAGACCGACGGACAGACAGCCAGCCAGCCAGCCAGCCAGGCAGGCAGGCAGGCAGACAGACAGACGGACTGATGGACGGACGGACGGACTGACGGACAGACGGACGGACAGACAGACAGACAGACCGACGGACGGACGGACGGACAGACAGACTGACGGACGGACAGACAGACAGACAGACAGACCGACGGACGGACGGACAGACAGACCGACGGACGGACACACAGACAGAGCAGCGGACGGACGGACAGACAGACAACCAGCCAGCCAGGCAGGCAGGCAGGCAGGCAGCCAGACGGACAGACAGACAGACAGACAGCCAGCCAGAAACAGACGGACAGAGGACAGACGGACGGACGCACGGACAGACAGACAGACCGACGGACGGACGGACAGACAGACCAGCGGACGGACGGACGGACAGACAACCAGCCAGCCAGCCAGCCAGCCAGGCAGGCAGACAGACAGACAAGCACCCAGACAGACAGACAGACAGACAGGCAGGCACGCAGGCAGGCAGGCAGGCAGGCAGGCAAACAGACAGACGGACAGACGGACGAACGGACGGACAGACGGACAGACAACTAAACTAAACTAAAACTTTGCCACGTGCCATTGCCAGCTGCTTCTGGCGCAAGCAACGAGATGGGTCTTACCTTGAGGCATGTTATCGGAACTTGAAGCATTTAGAAAGGCCCGGTTGACTAATGGGAGGCTGTTGTATTCAAGAGCCAGTTGTTTCACCCCTCTTGCTAAGCGAGCAGGCTCTACTTAGGTCCGGGGGTCAACATGAGAGTTTCTTGCGGGTCCATTCAAGCCGACATCCCCGATTTCCCCAAGACGGCGATTCCCAGGAAAAGCGAGCCTTTCCGAAAACAGCCTCAAGTTCAGCCATATGGCCATGGGTCAAAATCCCGTACTGCCAGTGAACATCCCAATCCAACCACTAAAATAGGTTCCAAAATGGGTGGTGCACCTACCAACCAAAATGGTAGCCAAACGGTTTTGACAACCACAGCCATATGGGTCTGTGTCAAACTAAGAAAACCGTGCACACCCCTCTTAATATGCTTGGCGTCCTGGTTTCCCTAAACCCACAAAGGCTCACAAAGGCTCAGGCCTCGAAGCTGTCCGGGTCCTCGGAGAGCACCGAAGACTTCTCATCCTGCAGATCCGAACAGCCGAATGGGATTTCGCCCGTGAGAGGCCCACATCTGACTGGAACTGGTTGATTTTGTTGGGGGGGGGTGTCCCATGGTGTCCCTGAAAAGCGTCCCTGATTCATAGGGTGTTTTCCTTTAGTCCCCGTTTAGTGGGGCTCATCACTTGAGAGGAACCCCTCTTCCAGGATGGGTTGAGACCTTCCTCCTGAACGACCCAAACAGTAAGCATGCCCGGATACATGAGTTGTCTATTTGCCCACTAAGGGAAAACCCTCGGTTACTGAAACGGCCCTCTTTCTTCATGAATATATACCAGGACCAGTCCCCACACCCCAAACCTCCAGTGGATAAAACAGGGCGCCCTTTGTTTCCCCCTTTCAAAGGGAAACCACCAGGTGAGGAAAATGGCGCGATCTGCTGATCTGGGACGTGAAGGACATCGGCCTCGCTGCTGGATCCAGAGCCGGACGTCGCTTCGTCCACGCCCTGGTACACTCCGTGGGCCATGGCGGGCGGGGTCACGCGGGCAGGCGCTGGGAGGGGCGAGAGGGGAAAAAATTCGCCACCCCAGGCTTCTGCGAGGCCACCCCAAAAAAGTGGTGTGAAACCACCCAGAAAGCAAAGTACAAAATCTAAGAAGCGTTCAGAATGCGTCTGCCGCGCTCGTGAGGGGCCCATTCGGACCAGCCGGCGAAGTTTGTTTTTGCCAGGGGGGCGTCAATCTGAGCGGAGAAATTCTCACAGGATGCAACGAAACCTTTTGGGAATGCGTGCTCTTGCAGCGTTTCTTCATCTCAAGCAAGATGTTGAGCGCTGGCACCCAAACTTCTACAGAGCAGACGGCCATCCCCGTCAAAACTCATCAAAAATGGCAAAAGAGACACTAAATGCCCTGTCAATGGCAGTGGGGCCTCTGTGATCCATGGGAACCGGTAGCGTTGAGCCCAGAATTCAAGTCGCAGCGTAGCGTGGGACCCAAGAGCATGGCTAAGGCAGCAAAAGACAAATCAGTTCACTTGGAATCCATCTGTGCTCGGGCTGAAAATGCAAAGCCGGCCGATCCATCCCAAGACTGTGGTGCCTTGTCCTGATATCCCATCTGAAAAGAATGATGCCACTTTGGCAGTCATCCTAGGCCAGGGATGCCCGCCCACAAATACAGAAGCGCGCCTCAGCACTCACATGCCTGTTTGTGGAGAAGTACCTAAGGGTACATTTGTATTTGGAGACATGTTGCTTTTTCAGAATCCATGGCCACATTCCCCAAACCTACAATCAGAATGGCTTCTGCAATGGCATTCAAACGTCATCCTCGGAATGTCAACGTCAAGCAAGCTCCCAAAAAGTGTTGCAACCACGGAACGCCAATCTGCAACCCTGACCTGCCCACATTTGTATGCCATCTGAGGGGCAACTGACCACATGATTATGATGTTTCAAGCAAAGGGAACGTCTGCCTGGCAAAAAGCGAAAGGGCTAGCTAGCTTTGGAGAACTCCCAGTGCAGGATCTTACTTGAGGACAATCGTGCAACCAAATCAATCAGAAAATGATGTCTGGGCGCAGCCACCTTTACCCCGCCCCCCGTCCAAAACGAGGGCGCCCTTCCCCCCCCTCTTCTGCCTGCGGCCGCATGGGCCTGGTCCACGCTCTGGGGCGGCGCGTTGGCGCGCACCTCGTGTCGAGCGAGCCCCGGTTTTGGGGCTGTGGGTGCCCCAGTTTGGGGCGTGGCTGCTTTGTAGGGAACCCTCCAAAATGAGCGGTTTACGGTTTCCGCACTGGTTCCCTTTCAAACCTACCAAACAGAATTGACCCTCAAAGGAGGACACACCCAAATGTCCAGGCTGAATGCAGATGGCGCAATTCCCATCTTGCAGGGATGGCTAGAACATGAGGGAACGGTGCCATGAATCACAGTCACCCGGACCTTCAACGCGTCAAGTAAGTAGGCAACCGTGGACGACGATATTATTGGGATAATAAGGGGAACTGGTTATAAGTGGATTGACCATTTAAGTGTAAATGCGGATACAATTGCATCACCTCACGCACCCAAACAGACCAACCTTGTCAAATGTGTTGCAGCTCCCCCAAAGACTTACTACATTCAAAAATTATGATGCGAGAAGCGTGTCATGCCCAAAAAGGGCCGCAAAAGTGGTAGTGGACATGCATCCCCACCAAAAAGAATGTGCATCAAACGCTTTTTGTCCGGGACCACCCCCCCAAAAAAAAATACATTAAAAAGAAGAAGAAAAAACAACTCTTGCGGCTGGCAAGAAAACCACTCGCCGCATGGAATTGGTGCCGACATCTGAGCATTCGGCTCCGGACTCTGCGGCCTTCTGGCTGGTGGCCTTCGGTTCACATCCCCCGCGGTAGTTTGGCAGTGCGTGCCTTGTTGCTATCGATAGGGGGCGGACTCTTTTGGAAAAAAGGGATATCATGTCTGCAAACCTTGGTTCTGATGCATTCCTTGCCAGCCAAAATGGCCTCAACAAGCCGGAATAAACTGCTGCCCCCCCCCACCACCAAGAAAGTCCCGCTGGGATTCGAGCAGGCCGTTTCTTCAGGTTGGATCAGGTCTGACTTACTGGTGAGCCTTCATAGTTGGAAGCAGCAAACGTGGGTGACGTCTCCATCTACATTCCAATACCCTGCTCCAACACCACGTGCGATATTCGAGTTCATGTTCAATAAAATGTCGCCCGCGCAAAAAGCTCAGCTCTCTGGTCGACAAGTTTGGAGCTCCGTTTCCCTCCCCCACAAGGTTCCACTTGTCGATTTCCGCAAGATAGACATGCACCCAGTGGTTGGTTCCCACCCTCTAGGCAACTCCGGGGTAAGGCAACTCGGGATCAAGAAGGCCCTCGGGCCAGCCCTCCCAAAAACCCCGCGCCGCATCGCGGATGACCACTCGGAGGTCTCCGTAGACCGGACCGCCTGCGACATGTGGCCATGGGTCAAGATCCCGTACCCCCAGTGAACATCCCAATCCAACCACTAAAATAGACCAAAATGGGTGGTGAACCTACCAACCAAAATGGTAGCCAAACGGTTTTGACAACCACAGCCATGTTTCAACAGCCGTCGAATTTCTTTGAAACCCAAAGGAAGAGGGTCCTTCATGTAGCCTCGCTCGCTCGGAAGGTCTCGAGGCTTCAAAGCCCAAAGCAAAACCGGGCGAAGTGCCTGTGCGCTTGCCCCACCCCTTAAAACACAAGGGGCGCACAGGGGTTGGGGAGGTCGGCCAGAACTGACTTCACCTCTGTGAGTCAAACAGGGCGTTTCCTCATGGACACCTCTTTTGTTTGGCAGTCGAACGGGGACCCAGAAGACGGTTGGGGACGGCTATTTCTGAGAAACATCGTGGTCTGCATGCTCCCAATTGGGGCCTTGATCGGCACTCGGCGCGCCGTATCCCATTTGGTGCCAGCTGGGGAACCCAAACCAAGCCACCAACTAAGTGGGTGTGGGTCAAAACTTGGCGGTGGTGATTTCGTCTTGACCCATACCCAAGTGACTCGTAGCTCGCCGGAGCAAAGCGCTTGCGCTTTTTTTGTACCACCGCTTTGCCCGGGCAGAGTGATTCTTTTGCGGCCGGCCCACCCAACACAGTGATCGCCTACAGCGGGAAAAGGCGCTAGTTTGATTGGTGGGAGAACGGTACTGCAAAGCTTTCAGCTAGCTCCAGGAATCAAGAATCAGTGCCCCTGTCCCCCCAAGAGAGCAGTTGTGCTCAGCACCGCTCTCATGGTCGAAAATTCTCACACGACGCTCACACATCTGGCCCTTGCCTGAGAGCCACGACCTCTTCGGAGGCGGCCCGGGTCTCTCCATGCTCGCCTTCGGCGACACAGTGTTTGCAGCTGACTAGCCGATCGATCGCACCGCGCGCGATCTTTGGACAAACTGCGCCGTGAAACCAGGAAAAAGCGGATCAAATCCGGCGCATGCGTGCCGCCGGCTGCCCAAGCCATCGCAGATCCTGGCGGAGCGGAGGAAGCGAGCGAAGGGGTCAGGTCACAAGTGGTTTTCATGAGGAGTTCTCTGATTTCGTTCTTCGCCCAGACCGGGCGCCATGAACCACAGAAACTTGTGGGTCCACAAGGATTCGAACTTCCCACGGTGACAAACCCTTACACGAAGAAGTCGTTCAATCATGTTGATTGCTTCGCTTGCTGACACGCTGATGCACCCCAAGCGGCGAGCCTTTTTGCCATCACAACAATCTCTTGGACAGTATGATTTGGCTGCATGCGCAGTACGGCATGCTCTGGATACGAATTTCTTTCAAAAATGTCCTGTGTGGGTTCGCTGACAAGTGATAGCAGGTGACGAATAACTGCGCCAACTCGGCAGGAGCTCTCACCGAACGTCGAGCTCCCAGCTTGTTGTTGGCCACGTTTGCAAGCATCAAATGTTGCAGCCAGGAGTGTCAATCTTGGAAAGGGCTGCAACTCATTGGAGACAATCAGTCGCTTGGCTCTCTCCTGAGACAAGTCTCATGCGACGAGATCTGCGAATGTTCTTCGGGGGCCGAAGTATGGGGTCCTTAAAGGGGTAATTAGTTTTAGTTTTGTAGCGCGGCATTCGAGATGATCTTACCCTTGTGTTTGGAGTCGGGCCTTTATCATATCAAAGTATATCTGTAGCTGCATATGTATATATATATATATATAATACATGAACATGTGCATATGTGTATATATATATATACATATGTCGCTATACATAAGTATATACATCCACATACACGCATACATATAAGTATAGATATATACATATTTTATACACATATGCATGCACCAAAAACATCTCCACGGACCAACGGCAGACTCCTGCCCTCAATGTGCAAAGGCTTGCTTCAGTCTTGTTCAAAGCAAGTGGGAGGCAAATGCAATCAATGTTCTGCGTTCAAACTGTGATTGCTCCATCCCTTTGGTTGTTTTGCCTTTCGGGGCGATCAAGCTGCCCGCTTCTGCATATGTACCGAAACCGATTCCCTGCATCTCAGTTGTTGTTCAGCTTGTTCCTCATTTGTTGGGGAATTGCCCCGGCCCCCGCGGTCATGACACGGAATCAGCCGGCTATTGGCCGGCCGAAGGGCTCCATGTCCAGGAGCGTTCAAATGCCCAAAGTGGCATTCAAGTGAAACCTTCCTCTTGCGACCCACGGCCGGACATCGGTCGGCCCAGCAGTCAGCCGGGCCAAAAAGGCCTTGCGGCAACCTAGTCAGCTTGGGCGGGCAAAACCATGGGGAAAACTGTCTGCTTTCCCCTTCCATCACCGTGCTCTGGCAAATCCCTACAAAATGCTCCGTTTCGCCCAACCCTCTGGACAGCACTGTATTTATTAGCTCTTCCCGGCTGGTTTGAACCGCATCCCGTGCAGGGCAGAAGAGCACTGGCGCTTGCATGAGAGCCTTGCCACCTTGAGGCAAAGGATGGTCAAATCGCTGCCTTGGAACCTGGAATTCGTTGCCGTTCATTTTTCAGCCACACTTTGTCCTTGTCATGACCACTTTCCCATCTCGGGGGGACGCATGGCTCGGCAAGCGAATTGCTGTACTGACGTATGCTGTGTGCTTGTCCTGTGCATATTTGACAAGCGCTGAACGCAGGCAACAGCGGCCCTGCAATCCACCGAGAAGCCACGTGGGTGCTTCTTGGCATAGACAAAGCCTCTTCATAAAGCTCGGAAATTGCCCCGCAGCGCATCCAGTTGAAGGCAAGAACACCTCATCGCTGGTTAAATCACTGTAAGTCACAATGTGGAAATGAGACTTGGATCTTTGAAGGAGCCTTCGTGGGAGTTCGCTCGTCTTGCCCCAGGTCAGTGGCTTGGGTGCAAAAAAAAACAGAGCGCGAGATGATCTTGAAGCCAAGGGGTGCGACTGCGGGGGACAAAACCTGTCGCGTTGCTCTGAGCCACTGTACTGCTTCGATCCGGGGGTGCCCAATGCCAGAAGGGAGCAACCGGTGGTCACATCACTAAGGACCGGACAAGAATCAACCAAGTACTTGGCTGGGCTCTGGGTGTTCAATAGGTCATCTGGACGATGTTTGTTTTCAACCCTCCCTCTTTGGTTTCCTTTTGGGGCCGGAAGCGTTTTGCTTCGACACATCACGCTTTGCCCTCTTTCTCAAATGAATTGGTGCAAGCGGAGCAACCCGACTTGAAGTCACGAGTGAGTCTTTGACCCAGAGACCGGGGCAACGGTCCTTCCCACCTCCAGTGGGGAAAAGGGGCAGCGCAGAGGATAGAAAGCCCTCTTTGACTTCACGTACGTTGGCCATTGGTCAGCCACTGAGCAACAGGGTGGCGCCGTCTCGCTGGGATTAAGGTGAGGCCCCAGAATCGTTTACCAATGAATCAACCGCACATCTGACTCACCCGGCATTTCCCGAAAAACCTGTTTTTGCTTGGAATCCCAGTTCTCTGCCACTCAAAAGACCCATCAGAGCCAGAAGGACGTGGTGAGCCCGCTGCCGGCAAAGCGGATTTCTTGGACCCCGAGATTCGCGTTCGCCTCGCTGGGCTTCGCTCGGAGGTTTGCCCGGCGCGAGCTCCTGGCCTCCAGCTGGAGCTGCTGCCGGCGAGACTTCGCCTCCTGTCGGAGGGGTGGGGTGCTTCGGCTTGGGGGAAGTGCAACCGCAAGTTGCAACAAGTGGGATTTCTGCCAGGTGCAACAGCAGTTGAGGTAAGTCTTGCAAACAGCCTTCCCCATTGGACCCACGAAAATGAAACTTTTTGCAGAGGGGTCAACAGCAACCAAGATTTGAAGAGGGTACATGCATGAAACCCAACGTGGGGCAGGTGACGCGTTTGGGCTATGCTCAATCGACAAAGTGGGTGGATGCTAAGGCACGCGTTTGAAGGGGAGGAGACTAGAGCTGGGAACAAGCATGCCATAAGACAAACCCACATTGCTAATCCGTTTGTCCGCCTCCTCCTCCTTTTTTGTCTCCTTCTTTAACCTTTGGGAAATGAAAACTGTCACATGTTTGATGCACCTTTGAAGTGGTCTTCCCAGGTTCCCCTAGAATGTGACTCTCTGTCTAGCCTGGTCTTGGGCTGTCCCGCCTTACACGGGAACCTCCGCAGGGCGTATCGATTGAATACCTGGACTGTTTTCTTCAGGGTTGGTTTTCAGGAATATCTCCGTCTCCGAGAAGTGAAGTGCGGGATTGAACCAGGGGGGGGAAAGCAAGAACTGTCAAATGTTTAAGATTCTCCCGTAACTCAACCTCGCCATGGTCACCCTGCCCAACATAACATTCAGAAATTCAGACGGCGCTCGCCGTGGAGACACAAACGCACAAACACACCCAGGCATGACGCGCACCAACATGCAAACTATACAACCACGCCAACATTGGAAAGGAATGGCAGACGAACAAAAAAAAGACAAACAAACAAACAAACAAACAAACAAACAAACAAACAAGCAAACAAGCAAACAAGCAAACAAGCAAACAAGCAAACCAGCAAACCAGCAAACTAGCAAGCAAACCAACCAACAAATCCATAGACAGGTTCGGTCCATCTGCTTTCCTGGGATGGTTGACCTGTTTGGACTGATGCTAGTGTCTTGACATTGAGATTTACCATTAAGGAAGCATCAAGCGGTGGATGTTGAGGAAGTTCAGATCACGCCCTCGGTTTATGATGTTCTGACCTCTATCCTGTCGGCACAAGCAGCTATGCCTCTTTCGTCTACTCGCACTACTTTGTAAGTAAGAAGGGCCTTGGGCGTGGAGTGAGAAGGTCAAGTCTCTGCCCCACCAAACCCCCCCCCACCCCCGCCCCAAAATCCAGCGAGCCTCGCGGCTGCAGAAATGGCAATAGGAACAGCTGTCGCCCTTCCAGCCTAAGCCGAAAGCCGTCCGGCCTCCCCAATACTCCGAACAGAGCTTCGGTTGTTTGATTCCCTCAAGGTCCAAGATGCAAGACAGGAATTTTGAGAGCCCCCCTGAAATTTTTCCTCGAACTTCAATTGGCACATTTGTGCGTGTTCAAGTCAGGGCACCATGGCGCACTAAGCGATTTTATTTGAGGTGTCCTATGCCATTTGGCGCCCAGAGATGACGGAGTAGTTCATGATAGCGTGGCGTGATATACATCTGTGTACATACACATAAAAAAGGTATAGATCATATTAGATTGTACTATACTGTACTATATTGTACTATACTGTGTTCTGTGACATTGTGTTATTAGATTGTGTTACATTAAATTTTATTATATTGCGTATATATTTGTATATGTGTGTGTGTGTGTGCGTGCGCGCGCGTGCATGCGTGTATACACATTCATACAATTACGCATGTGCGTGTGGCAAAAAAGGATGAGGCCATGCTGTGTACTTTCCAAGCGCCTGAGCGAGGGAATGGCTCTGGTTCAGTGGATGCCGCTGCCATACTGCGAACACGGAGATCTTCGAATTCACCGGGGATTGCCACGGTTTTGTAGCTGAGTGCGGTTGGTCCGGAGGGAACTTGAGAACCCCTGAAAAATGTAAAATGTCTGCCACTTTAAGGGACTCAGGGCATGGAGGCTAGAGCCGTGACAGCCACAATTGTTGCCCCCCTATTTTGGGGCGTACGCGTGTTATTATATATTTAAAGGCTTGCTAAATGTGAAACAGAGTCTGAAGATCGTGTGCCTCAAGGCTAAGGCCAGCCACCCTGGAAATTGGAGATCTTCTCCTGATTTTCTCCAAATTTCAGAATCGCACCATGTTTTGCCCAAAAGGACCACACACTTGATGGGAGACATCGAAACCGCGAAGGCGCACCAAGCAAATTGAAAGGTGAAAAGAGGAGTTTCGGCTTACTGCATGTTCAAACATCTTTCGTGCCACCGACCATCCTCGTCAGGAACGCCATCGGTAGGTGACACTAATTACTCCATGTTGATACATCCAGCAAGGTGGCGTCCGACTCCGAGAAACCAAGCACAAACCCCGAAGACCCCTTAGGAACAAGGGGCACACACACAAACACACACACACACACACACACACACACACACACACACACACACACACACACACACACACACACACACGACTCCGACCCTCAACGCCCTCCGTCCACGACCGGTCAAATCCGGGGCACAGCCCTCCGGCTTCAAGGCAAAGGCCACGCACGGCCGGCAGCGCTTCTCCAGGTGCAGCTGGCCCATCTCGGCGGAGAACGCGCCGCCCTCCTTGACCGGCCGACCTGGCGTCCCTTTGTGTAGCGGTTGTTTAGCGGTTGTTTGGGATTCCCTCCTGTGGGCGTCCTGTTTAGCGTCCCTTTGTTTGGGGAGTCTACTGGGGTTTGGGCTCGTTTTGGTGGTTTGGGGCAAGGCTCCAAAACCAATCCTAAACCAGGCAAAGAAACTGCCACCGAATCAGAGCCAATAGGCAACCCTAGGTCCAAGTGAGGCTGGTGGTGCCGGGGATGCGGCCAACCAACCAACCAAAACCTGACCTAAGAACAAACCAGCCCTAGGAAAAAAAACCTCTCATCTCCCTCAGGACATGAAGTGCACAGGCTCCCTTTTCAAACGGGGACTCCAGAAGTCTGTGAACCAAGCCATGTGGAGACACCCCTCCGAGCCTGCCGTCGCTGTGCTCGCAGCGTTGCTGTTGGCAAGCTTGTCGAGCATAGCGAGGGCAAAGCCGCGGGCGAAACCGCGAACAAAACCTTGGTGCCGCCTTGTAAGCCAAACTGCGTGAGAAAAAGAAGTGGGCGAGGCCCTCAGCAACATGGAAGCGTCATTTAGGGGCGTCGGTGTCCCTTTGGCTTCCCTCACCCAAACACAGGGTGGCACAACTCCATCTCAGCTGCCCCTTTGCCACAAAAGACCCGGAATTGTGCCATCTTTCACTCCGGACTCCGCCGTGCCACGGCTCTAAAAGACACACACGCAACTGTCAATGGATTCATCAGCCGGCCGGCTGTGAAAACTCCGAAAGTGATCCGGCTCATCTCCACCCACAAGTCGTGGTTAAGGACGCTCAAAGGCCATGCATATGACCGAATATTGCGGGTGCTCTACATGTTGCTTGCGTTTATGTCAAAGCCGACGTGAGATCCTAAGTTGTGCTCCGGTTGATTCTTCACTTCGTCTCCAAGCCCATCGTAAGGCAGAGAAAAGGTCACCCTGCCCGGGATATGGTGTTGTCTTTTCTGAGGGGACACCCCAAAAAGCAATTAGTGTGCTTCAGAGGAACCTGGGTTGGCGGTAAATAGCGTGATCCAAGCAGGACCCTTGTTGACCCCAGACTATGTAAGAATGTGAAAAGTATTCCCCCCCCCCCTGGCTTTGCAAAGAGGCACCTCCCCTATCGATCGGCCAAGAATGATCCGGCCTATGTGGCTGGCGAAGGCTAGCAAGGGAAACTGACGGAAGAAGCCAACAAGCCCCCGCCTCAAAGCAAAGCCCAGCAAACCCGCGAGCCGAAAGCTGCGGCTGGCGAATTCTTGCCACGGGGCGTGAAGTGTCGGGCTCTTCGTTTTAGTTTGGGGTTGGCTTGTCGTTGCATTTACCTGGCTCAACTAAAAACAAAAAAAGAAAAAAGAAAGAAGAAATGGGGCGATTGATAAAATAGAAATTCACACAAGCCAGCAAGGGCAAGAGGGTCCCAACACCTGCCGAGATGCCTATGGAACACCACCTGCGCCTCTGAAACTCGACTGTCAGCGGCTGCCTTGCTTGGGAAAAAGTAGTGACATGTCCGCATCGGAACCGCCATCTGCATGTGGAGGGTCAGCAAACTCCCTTTTGCCTCCTTTTGGGAAATACAAAGTTTATGGCCGAGTCGTTCTGGGTCCGGACATGTGACATCCTCAAAACGACCCTCCAAATGGTGGAACCTCCAAAGCCGCAGATGCATCCGGAGAGCCTCTCCCCAGACCCCGCCTGACTGGAAGAGCTCACTGCTGCGCCGCAGGATCCGGCCCTGGGTCTGGGTGTGCTGGGTGTGCGGGCGTGGAACCAAGCAGCAAACCACAAGAGTTGGTTTGGGGTGGGGGTTAGCCAACAAACCAATCCTTTGTGGTTGCCTTCTGCCAACAGCAAACACCGGGTGTTTTCTTTGCTAGGCCTGGACAAATCGGGGAAAAACATTTAGCACCCCGCTTGGAAGCGCTTAAATGGACGAGGGAAACAGGGAGCCAAGCGAGGAACGTCTTTTTGCCTATTCCAGCCTGTTCATTCCCCTCTTTGACACTCTTTGAGAACTTTCCCGCCCAAGAGTTCCAAACAGTGAGGCGTCGACGCAACAACTGCTGCAAAGCAAACCGGGTGCCAAGGAATTTTGGGGAGTGAGTGTGCTCACCCTTCAACGGGCTTGATTTTGTTGCTTAAACAACCCTTGGGTATGGGCAGCGCCCAGCTATGCCTCCAGAGGAACATCCACCGGACGAATGCTTCTTAGATGCAGGGGTTGCCCCACTTGGCTTGCAAACCCTTCTGTGCCAAATGCCAGTTGAAGGCTGATTCCTTTCAAGAAAGGAAACTCCCAAGACTGTCATCACTGGTGGTTGAAAGTTACTTTATGCACCTGCTCATGCTGAAGAGAATTTGGCGGTTGTCGGCTAAGTCTCCAAAACCGCCGCACCCCGGCCCTCCCCCCCGGATGCACCAGGGCGTCAAGCGCCGGTGTGGCCGTTGTAGGCCGGCTGCAACCAGAGCCCTGGGTAGAGCAAGTCCTGATCGCCATGGGACCATGAAAACCCCAAACCCCCCACACATGTTGTGGTTTCCCCGGAAAACCAAAAAAAAAACTGCAAACATGAGCGTCGGGGACTCCCCGACACAAACATGGGTTTTGCTGTCCAAAAAACGGAAGTTGGCAAAAGCCGCGGCTTTCCTCAGCCCTCAAGTTGTCACCGCCCTGTAGCATTGACCGGACCCGACTCACTGAAGAGAGTACGACTGATTGATGATTGCACGCGACATGGCCCGCAGTGGACGGGAAGGCGGCGAGCCTCGCAAACAGCACCTTAAGCCAAGCGCGTCCAAAATTTGCAAAACGCACCGAAACAAAGTCTCTCCAATTCGCCCCGGTCTTTTTAACTCGAGCGAAGACGGCTGTGACGGTGTTCAAGTACATCTCAAGCTTCCCAAGTCATCCCATTCCGGCCGTCCATGCGTGCGGTGGCCGCTGATCCATAAGCCCTTCAAGTGGTTGCTTCTGTTTGCCTTTGTGCATTCCAAGAAGCTTGGACGGGGGCCCACACAACAGCCGTTCACCTAAGGGATATCTTTTCGAAATATCACAACTACTTTATCACTTGAAAGAGATTAGTCTGACTTTGATAGCCCGACACAAGACCCAAACATGCCCAAGCATCCCAAAGTGAGGGGACCACCCCCTCCCCCCAGGTAAGTGGACTTGGAATCCTGTAAATGGTGGCTTCCTTTTGGCTATCTAAAAGGACCCCGAAGAAAAAGAAGAAGGAAAAAACAACGTCCTGGACCGCCGCTGCGCAATCCTCAGCCGGCTCATGTTGCAAGCTGGGGTAGGGTTGGTGTCAACTCCTTTGTCGCACTGAGAGTTTTGTGGATGAAGGAAATGCCAAACCGCCAAGCCTGGAAGAGTCAAAAGCAAAGCCGACCACTGCTCCTTTTTGGGGTGGGGGGGCCTGCCTGCAGGTTTCTAAGAACAGTCCCCAGTCCTGTTGCCATCTCAGTCGACCGTGCTCAAAAAACACGCGGTGCGAAACTCCCAGACAGCATGCCTTCTGATGGCAACTCTTGGCCTGCGCCTTGAGTTGCCCATTTCAAATTGGGCGAGACGGGCTTGCGGACTTCACCTGAGCCGAGGATGCGAGCCCGCGGCCTGACCATTATTCATCTTTATCCAAAAGCAAGTTGGGGTTACCCGCCCAACCCCAACCCCCCCCCCCCCCCCCCGAGTTCCCAGACATAATCCTCCTCCGTGGCACTTCGCCTGCCACCCAGGCTGAAGGGATCGCTGTAGACCTGAGCTGCTTGGAAGAACCACGGGATTGCATGTATCCAAATAACTACACATATTATTTGCTTGCTCATGACTAAGTTTGACTTTGCAGTGGCCAACACTCCCTTCTAATTATTTGTGTTGCTTATCTAAAACCATGAAAAGGAAGGAAACCCTTAGTCAGGGGCGTCTTCTGAAGCGCCCGGCCGTGACAAGGAGTGGCCCAACATGAGGCCACAAGAATCATGTTGAAACACAAATATGGCACCAAAATGATCAGAACCAAACTCAAATTTTGTTGCATCTTCAACTCAAGCATCTGGCCTCAATGACTTAAACGCCTGGCCTCCCCTCATCCCCCACAACAACAACAACAACAACAACAACAACAACAACAACAACAACAACAACAACAACAACAACAACAACAACAACAACAACAACAACAACAACAACAACAACAACAACAACAACAACAACAACAACAACAACAACAACAACAACAACAACAACAACAACAACAACAACAACAACAACAACAACAACAACAACAACAACAACAACAAACAACAACAACAACACACACACACACAACAACAACAACAACAACAACAACAACAACAACAACAACAACAACAACAACAACAACAACAACAACAACAACAACAACAACAACAACAACAACAACAACAACAACAACAACAACAACAACAACAACAACAACAACAACAACAACAACAACAACAACAACAACAACAACAACAACAACAACAACAACAACAACAACAACAACAACAACAACAACAACAACAACAACAACAACAACAACAACAACAACAACAACAACAACAACAACAACAACAACAACAACAACAACAACAACAACAACAACAACAACAACAACAACAACAACAACAACAACAACAACAACAACAACACAAAACCGGGCGCGAAGGCTCAAAGACTGCGAAATTCCCCCCCCCCCCACCCAACCGTCGAGGGATCCCCAAAAGCTGTCAAGAAGAAAAATCCCTCTGTCGGCTCCCGGCTCGGAAGCTCTCCTCCGTCATGGCCTAGTCCGAGCGTAGGTTGCCGATTTGTGTTCGCCACATGGGCCGATCGGGCTGGGGCCAGGGCCGGTTCATTGTGGGAAATAACCCGGAATTCGCGTTGCCAGAGTGGCGACTAACTACTCTGTGGCAGGGAAGGTGCTCGGCATCACGGAAACCACCCCTAAACCCCCCAGCCCCTCCACATTTTCCACAAGCATGCGGATTGAACCCACGTCAGGTCTGCACTGGAAGTTGCATAGCCAGCTCAATTTCACGGTCCTGGCTCGGTTTTGGACACTTCTGCTCCTTTGCCCCTCAATGCCTCAAAGGCGGCAGCACCAGCCGCGAAGGTTCCTCCGGTGGTTCCTCCGAACCTGGGGTTCTCCGGCGCACTTGCCACGTGCACCCTGGGCCCAGCCCCGAAGCATCCAACCCGCAAGAGTGGCGATCCCGCACCCAGCGAGGCGAACGAGCGACGTGAATTTTCCTGCCTTGCCATGTCTTCCAACATGCTTCTGGCTTGCTGGATGGATTTTGAATCCCGGCAGCCTCACTTTCTACCAAGCAGCTGGAAGAAGTACTCCCGGAATTGCTTCAGCCTCGGACATCACTTGGTCACTCCGGCTTCAGCACACTCGCCGGTCACATTGTGCAGCTACCCACAGGGGCTTGTGGAAAATCATGCTTTTTGTGAGGCAGTTAGGGCGCCTCCACAAAAAGGGTCTTAGACTATTGGGTAGCTTGATCCTAAGCGTCATTGGTGCTATCTGCCCCTGACCTGTACTCAAGCCGGTTTTGCACAAAAAGCCACGCACTGAGTCACAGTCAAAACCTAGCCTCAAAACGGTCTACCCATTTCCAGGTCTGTTGGTGGCCGGGACTGTCCACGCTGCCCTGCACTCAACTGGGTGTTGATTATGGCTGGGGGCTCTGTTTGTTCAAAAAGCTAGCGGGCATGGCGTTCGTTCTGGGCCGCGGGCGTGAAAAAGTACTGCGTCAGAAAGCCGCTGGAAGGCCCGATGCGTTATTGAAATCGCTACGCGATCCGCCGACGCCACTGTATTAGCAAACTGGCGCTGATGCCACGTGGGGTTTTAACGCGTGGGAGAAGAACAAAACAAACAACGCCGCTCTGACGTCGGCTGCAGAGTGCCTCGAATTCGGGGTGAGGAAAAATGATTACAACAGCGCCCTCTGACGTCGGCTGCAGGGTGCCTCGAATTTGGCGCAGGAAAAAGGACTTCTTTTTTGCCTAGGTCATACGAGCCTCTTAACAAGTGAAAAGAAACCAAACGAAGCCCCTCTGAGGTCGGCTGCAGGGTACCTCAAGTTTGGGGTCAGGAAAAAGACGTTTTTTTTTGCCTAGGTCACATGGGTCTCTTAACGCCTGGAAGGAGAACAAGCAACGCCCTGGTGGAAGGAGAACAAACAACGCCTCTTTGCCTAGGTCACATGGGGCTCTTAACACGTGGAAGGAGAGGGTGCCTCGAATTTTGTGCAGGAAAAAAACGTGTTTTTGCCTAGGTCATACGAGCCTCTTCACACTTGAAAAGAGACCAAACGACGCCCCTCTGAGGTCGGCTGCAAGGTACCACACTGAAAAGACGTCTTTTTGCCTAGGTCACATGGGTCTCTTAACGCCTGGAAGGAGAACAAGCAACGCCCCTGTGGAAGGAGAACAAACAACGCGCCTCTGAGGTGCCTTGAATTTGGGGTAAAGAAAAGACGTTTTTTTTGCCTAGGTCACATGGGGCTCTTAACACGTGGAAAGAGAGGGTGCCTCGAATTTGGGGTAAGGAAAAGGATGTGTTTGCCTCGGTCACCTGGGTCTCTGAACGAGAATGCAAACAACAGAAATACCAGAGATGTGGGGAATGCTGGGAATGCAGCCGGCTAGCCACAAAAAAGTGCAGAACACCCGGGTTGTTTTAGAAATTTCCCAAAAGCAACCATCAAGATCCGATACTAGCAACCCCCCTCAAATACTCTAAAAATAGACTTCCAAAAGCACGATAGTGCAGGGGATGTTTCGCAGTAACTGCTCCGTACAGGTGGGAATTTAAAAAAACACTCATTTTTGCAAATTTCAACAGTTCCTCAAAGTATCACTGCACTTGGCCCCACCCAAACCCCTAACAGGCCAATTCCAACATCAGCGAGACACCACTAGTATCTGACAAAAAAAGAGACAAATTCATGGCAACAAGACAATCCTGATGTTGCTGGGGATGCAGATCCTGCGCGTCCGAAGGAAACCCCTAGAGACCTAGGCGAAACACAGATTTTTAGCACGAAAGACGCAAAAACACTTGAAAAATACGGGTTTTGGACACCCAGCACAGCATGCCCAAATAGCAGTCCCAAAAGCCTTCGGCTTTGATAAGAGGTTCCGAAGGAAGACCAAGTTGCGGACTGCCATCTACACGCTCGACTGGCGTCGGCGAATTTATTTTTTGGGGGGGGGCATAGCTCCAGGAGAATTAAGGGTCTGGAAGGCAGTTGTGGGATCTTCTGGAGGGTTCCAGGCCTACCGGCTGGTTCCTTCTGCGGCACCCGGCGGACCCAGGCGCTGCGCGAGAAGGTAGCAGTTGAGGTCGTCGATGGCGCAGACCTGCGGCCCCCCAAAAGCCCAAGCCACGGGTCCTGTTTGATCGGGGAAGGCTTGCCACCGCTCCCCCCCCAAAAAAAAAAAAAACAAGAAAAAAAACTGGGTCAGAAGTCAGAAGCCGTAAGAAGGTTGGAACTGGGGTGCGGGGGGTGGGGGGCCGGGTGTTTATTGGATGCCGAATCCGCCTGTGGATCCCCCTTGGGAGAAAAAGAGAACGTGCAACAATCAGGGGGGAATCTGCAGTTAGGGAACCGACTTTGCCTCTGCCCGCCACAATGGGTATAGAAACAGGAGTGCTTGCATTACCCACCTGAACATTGCCCCCGAAATGGTGTTGCTCCCTTTTGGGTGTAACAGGAAATCCTGTCCCACACTGATCTGGACGATTTGCCCTCTAAAAGGTACGGCTCCAAATGGACAAATTGCGCAAACCGTTAGCAGCCCGCCAATTCACAAATCTGCGAAACCGGCCTGTGCGCAGGCATGCACCAGCAGCACCCCCTTGGCGCGCGCCTCCTGGTGGTAGCCTTAGTCACACTCAGTGCTTTAAAATGTCCCCTTAGTCCCCCTCTGCAATAACCCCAAAAGAAAAGGATTCCCTTACAAAAGGGACGCACATGACTTTCCCTTGGTCCACAGTGTGTGTGTGTGTGTCAGCGCTTCTCAGCCCCACCCCCTTGCCGCGCCTGACCCTCAACAAGAGGACCCGACTGGTGAAGGCTTCCTTCAAGTTGCGCGCCGCACCCTCCAAAGCCTTGAAATGAGCTTCGGGCTGACCCGAAAAGAACACGGCCGACACCGCCGGGGGCTCCCCGCGCTGGATCATCTGGTGCAGCCACACCGTTTCACCAGCGACATCCACCTGAGGTGAACTTCTCGAGCTACCCCACCGGACATGCGAACATTTGCGCGGGGAACTTAAAGAGACCCCCATGTCTTACCCATGTACATGTGAACTGTACACTGCTGGAATGGCTGGCCGGACCTGAGCACAAAGCCTTTGTGCTGCAAAGAGTCTGGGCAAAAGATGATAGTGCGCAAACCGGCTCTGTCTTTATCGTCAGTTTTCAGTCGAAACACAGATCCCAGTGAGAGCAGTTGGGGTGTGCCCGGAAATGCCGGTTTGTGCGGGCCCCCTTTGACAGTAAACAATATCCCTCTCCCTCTCTCTGCCATACAGTGGATGATGCGTTCAGAGCCTGAAAACAGGATCTGCTGAAGCAATCAAATTGACTATGGATTTAGTCTGCGGCCCTCCTGCCCAAGACTCCCCAAGACCCTAGGCACAAAGAAAAGATGTTTGCCCCTGCAAAACGGAAACCAACGGAATCCGAACCAAGTCTCTCCTCTCGGTTTAATCATCCTTTTGGACGGTTCGCGCAGAGGGAAGCAACCTTGCCCCACAAACAGCCCCTTGGCTTCGCAGCTCCGCCCACTGGTGCTCTCCGGGCCGCATAGTGCGTCCGGCTCAACACGCAGGCCCGGACCGCCTGGCCAGGGAGGCCACTCGAAGCAAAGAGGTCTTACCAACTCCCACGGAGCTCCCAAGGCGCCAGCGACTACAAACCGAATCTGACGGCTGGCTCCGGAACTACCGGAACTGCTGTGATGACTCTTGAGCCCAATGAAACAAGCGCATGGGGCAGAGAAACAACCCCGGCCTGAAACTCTCTGCCTCATGAACTGAAAGCAATCTTCAAGGGCTTGCTGAGTACGGCCAGCAGGCGGCATTCTGGGCACCCCGGCAGCTTCGCCGCACTGGGTGTAAGGGCCTCAAGGATTGCAGGGCGTCACTTGAAGCCCGTGCTGCAAAGAAACCCGTGAAGCCCTGCTGAAAGGCTGGCATTCATGCAAGAACTTGTTGATAAGCCATTCCTTCTTGCGTGCCCATGGGTGTTTCCACCTTCACCCTATGAATTCGGGCCCTCGAAAAAAGAATCCATGGAAATGCCGGGCTTCGGATTCAAGTCCTTCAGAAACGACACCCACACAGGTGTTGGAACCCAAGGGTCACACGTCACCGCATGGGGGGTCTCCCTGAAGCCTTGCGCAACTTGAGTCCTAACACCTGTGTGATTGATCAATTTCAGCAGAACAAAGGAACCAGCCAGCACTTCGTTCTTTTCATTCTGTTAGTATGCGAAAGTTGGCTGGGGGGAACAAAACTTGCGAAGAAGAGGGAGCAACGTCCCAACTGGGCAACAGGAACAGCTCTTGCCAAATGTCGACATTCAATGCACGCGTGATCTAGCGTGTTGCAGCTGATGACATTCATTGCCCAATTGCGTCCCCTCAGGCAAAAAGAAAAACCGTACATTGAAAGCATGCGTTTCTGCGTCATCTGATGCGTCTCCTCGGATTTCAGCCAGGCACCCTGCATGGAATGCTAAATGGATCCAAGCAAGGTGCCCAAAGAAAGACTGTTCAAGAACCAGTCGTTTCCCCTGGTTGTTTGGAACGCTACCCCTGGGAACTGACCAAATTAGGGACCTTGTTCACCAGGGACTCACTCTATGTACACAAATTTGCTAATGAGGGATTAGGGACATTCACCGTTAGGGTCCGTCGCCCCGTTTTGGATGGCCGTACTTCGAAACTGTCATAATATGATGTGGATCCAGAGCAATAACCGTGGTGAGCCACAAATAGACAGGCCATGACAGGCCCATAGCGTTGAGCCCAGCGGGCTTGGGGAAATCAACCACCCCTTTGCTCAAAGTCAAACCCCCCCGCCCCTTTTCAAAAGGCCCGGCCTGCCGCAGAGATGAACACAGAGGCCTGCGCAGCAACCTGGCCACAAGCCAAGGACCGACGGGCTGACAGTCGATGCAGGACAAACGGAGTGGAAAACCTGTCACCCCCGAATTTTGTGGGGAGCCCCTCCGATTTTTGTGGGGAGCCCCACAAAATGGGGCTAAAGGCCCTATCCAATGAGACAAAATGAAGGGGATCAAAGCTTGGCTGGCCTCTTTCCCCGTGTCCGCGGGCCATCCGCTAGGGAGCCCCTTCTCAAGTTGACTGTGGAAGGTATGCCAAGTCTTGAACATCCTCCCGTTCAAAGACTCCTCTCTGGCATGTCTTGCACCTGCTACATGTGGTCGCACTTTTGAAAAGAAAAACAAATTCCCTGCTCCCGGACTCGTTTTTCCTCACGTGTGAGACCGATTCTAAAAGGCGGCCTTTGGTCTCTCAAATCCCTTGGCCCTCGCTCAAAGGGTTCAACGAACAAATCCACATTGAGGTTGTGGGTTTCCTTTCGAGGGTTGCGGCGTGGCTTTCTCTTTCGCATTGCTTCGCCTTCCGGTTAGGCCATCCTGCGGATTCTCAGAATCTCGGCAATTGAAGACCCAGATTCTTGACCCATCATACCAAAAAACATCAGCCCTGCAAAATGGTGAACCCTTTGTGGTTTCTTAGCCGGGAGCCCACCAGAATGAACTTAGACCTCCAAGTTGGGCTGTGATTGAAGAAACCACCCGAACCCCTCCCGAAAAAGCCACCCCTCGCCTGCTCCAGATCCTGCTGGGCCACCAGGACCGCCGGGCCGCTTTTGCACTGAGCCGCCAGAGCGCGGAGCCTCGCGTCGCGCGAAGGCAACGCGCCTTGTGGCAATGTAAGCCCCCTCGAAACCTCCCACATGCCCCAGAATCCCAGAAGAAACCCTTCACAATCGGAAAGGATTGCGCTTCAAGCCCTGCCAACATTCCCGAAGGTTCAGCAGCTTGCAAGTGACTAGTATCCTCTTCAAGCAACTCGCAAACTCAACATGAGTCCTCGAGTCAGTAATCTTCACCATGGGTGAGCTCGCCTTGCCCTCGAAACGGTAAGCCTCACCTTCATGCGTTTTGATCTCCGAGCGTTGACTAGGCTTTTCCCTGGATAAGCCTGGTACACGCCTCTAACATGGCCGTTAAGGGCGTAGCACGTTTCCCTTGGAGGCCCATGATCATGGAAAAGCAGCTGCTCTGGAGGCCTCTCCAACCCGCCTCTTCTCGCTGCGGCCCGCCAAAGCCCAGGCCAGCTTGCCCTTCCGAAGCCAAGTCGTGGGGACCCTTCCAGGGGTGGTCTAGATCGGGGAAGGGGAGGAAGGTGTGTTTGCCCCAGAATCCTGAAATGGGGCGCGCCAATAGACGAAGTTGAGAAACCCAGCGTGATGTTCAAAGCAGCCTACCCCAAAACGCGTGAAGCATGCCTGGCTACAGATTCTGGAGGAGAAGAGCCAGGCATTTGAAAGGCAGGCAACGAACTCAATGCGGGCCAGTGCCTGCACATGTCTCGGTCGTCAAGCTACTCCGCCAAACTGGCGGCTGAAATTTTCTGCCCCTTTGGGCTGATCATTTACAGGAGCAACCACGCACGGTCCAGCAGGGCGTGTGTAGTTGCGCCTTTGTCTCACCCGAGGATACCAGCGCGTCCAGGTGCTCTACCATCAGCCGGCCTCAAATCGCACTTGTCTTTTCCTGCCGTCCGAAGCCACCAGTGGGAAAAAACAAACTGTTGATGCTGGACCGGATTGGCAGCTTTTGCCGGACTGGATTGGCACCTTTTGCCAAAATTGCACAAGGTGACCAAAACAAAAGGCGGTTGGAAAGAGTCAAAAGTACAGAACCGCCCCCTCCCCTTCCTAAAGCGCGCGCCTGTGAAGCCGGTCGCGCCCCAAATGACTAGGTCATAAGGCCGGCCCTGGCGAGAACGGACCAAGGATCCCACCATAGTGTTGCTTCGTCTTGTTCGACTGTCTAGCTTGACTATGCTTGGTGGTGGGAATGGTCCCAAATCTTGGCCTTGGCCAGAAACCCGTGGGTGAAATCCGTTTCAACATCAGCATGGGCCTCCAGAATTGACAGTGCCTCATTCACTCTTGCTGGGATGGAACCAAGCGACCCACATCTCTGATGTCTGATGAGTCCCCTCGCCCTTCATGATTTGAAAAGGCGTCCTGGAAAGAAACAATACCTCGATACATCCCCCGCCAAAAAAAGAAGATAGATAACCCTTTGATAACCCCCTCCCCCCCCCCCAGCCCCGCACCACAAAAAAAACAACGACGACCTCACGAACAGAAAATAACACCAAACTCCGGCTACCAGCGCGTGCCTGCCTCTGGCGCGGCTTCCACCTGCTCGCCTGACGGAAGATCGGCGCAGGGTTCCCTCCAAAATGAGAGACCCAATTCATTGAATGGGGATCAATGAATCCTAGATCAACCCTGGCTCGAATGCAACCTGGCACGTGATGAAAATAGTGAGCAGCGGCATCGCGCGTCTCTTTCTCTCTCTCTCTCTCTCGCGCTCTCGCTCTCTCTCTCTCTCTCTCTCTATCTCTCTCTATCTGCCTCTCACTCACCCCCCAGGGCAAATCTATGTATAGGATCGTGGTGGAATTGTGAGATATCCGCAAGTGCCATTTAGGCCTAAAGAGCTAGTTGGATTAAAAGCCCGGCCTTTTTCTTGGGGTGGAGTTGATTGATCTAACCCTCCACCCATCCGCCACCCTCCTCTCTCGGTTCATTCAATCAAGGCGGTTGCATTTCGATTGCTCCTCCTTTTCTGCTTTTGGGCTGGTTTCCCTTGAAACTATCTTTTGCAGGAGGAATACGTTGCCCTCTGATCGGCCTCCGATCTTCGGGGCGGGCTCCCGCGCCAGGCTCAGGCGCAGCGAGCCGCTCTGCGGCACCTGGCCGCTAGGAGCGCACGTTTGGGGGGCGGGGGGTGAGGCCCACTGCCGGGGTGCCTATCCCAGAAAAGAACTGGTACCCTTCGTTGATTTGGTCCCTGGATCTATTCCGGAGAGCGTCCAATATGCCAATTTGGAGGATTGGAGGATGGATTGTCCCTGGCGGTCTGCAAGCCTTTTATCAATGTACCATGCGTCGAGTGACTGTACAATTGAAATAGAAGGGCCTTAAGCCATCATGTAAGCGGAGTGTGTGAA